CTAAGCAAGAATGATTATACGTACTGGGCATACGCCTTTTTATTGTAATTTTTTGTGTTTACATTATAAAAACCAGTTTATACATTATCACAAGTTTTATTAATAACTTTTTGTTACGGTTCGAAGAGATTGTCAAATTTATATGTAAATGGTATTATACTAAAATGAACATTTTTGAACAAGAAAATATCAAAATTTCTTATACTTAACGATATTTAGATGATAGACTCAACTATGATTGCTAGATAATATAACTGAATATTGGCTACCTCCATCAATTTCGATAATTTCTCCAAACTTTTCACATTTAAGCTTGAATGGCAATAACTCGTCATTCTCACTTTGATTTCCGAGAGCATAGTTTGACCAATCTCCAGTCGCAATTAATAATTTTTTAATTTTAAAAACCGGTTTTTATATTATACAGGTAACAATATAAAGTACAAAGTACAAGCGCGTTCTAGTACGCGTACCTAGCACAAAATATGTGTGATAATGCATCCTTTATTATCGTTTTTTTTTATATAAACAAGTTTTTCAAATTATTTTGATTACATTGCAGGTAATACAATAGAGAATCATAAAGAGCAAAAGCGCGTGTACTAATACACGTGCTAAGCCCCAAAAGACTGCGCGATAATGCACATTTGCGAAAAATCAGGTCTTGAGCATTAAAAAAAATTATTTTTTGAATCAAAGAGAGACTCCCGCCCCAAGATTGCTTATAAATTAAGAAGAGTTATGCAGAAGTCGAATTCCTATAAAAATATTTAAATTTTGATAGAAGCATTCTTAGGGAATCTGATTTACGATTTACAAAATGGATATTATTTTCATTATTTGCACCCTTTTGTTTATTTTTGCTCTTATTTTTCATAATAACTCTTATTCTGAAGAAAACAATGCAACTGGTTATGATGATTCAATATTGGTTATTGAAGTGTTTGACGACGATGAAGAGGAGTCCAAATATGAATTGAAAGAAAGTATCACAAATACTCTCCAATGACTCAAGAAAAATTTAGATAAATTAAAACAATTAAATGAACAAATATATGAATTGAAAGAAAGTATCATAAATATTCTCCATCAACTCATGAAAAATTTAAATGAACAAATATATGAATTGAAAGAAAGTATCATAAATGCTTTTCAACGACTCATAAAAAATTTAAATAAAGAAAAGCAAGAAAATGAACAAATTAGAAATGAAACATTGTTCCTTGAACAAGAAAATAAATGAATCATAAGCGATTATTTATTTCTTAAACAAGAAAATCAACGAATCAGAAATGAAATAAATAACAATATCAATGCTCTTCAAAAGCAAATTTACCAAATGGAGTATATAGAGTATATGAGACTGCAATTTAAAGAAGTACTTCAGAAAGAAAGGACACGGTTGCGAACAAATTATCAAAACTGTTTCAATGAATATTTTTAATATTATAATGATTATTTTCAGAATTTAACACTACAATCAATGGAAGAGATTAGACGATTAATGGCAATGATTGAAAAGAAGGACACGCAATTAAAAGTTTCAAAAAAATTTTTAGACATTAAGATTAAGGACTGCAGATCTCTGAAAGAACGTAATAAAAGCTTAGAAAATTGTATAAAAATACTTGAACAATCAAAAACTGTCAAATCACCCGAATCAATAAGAAACGTGATCTGAAAGTGACATTGAAATTATTGAATCAAAAATTGATAAACTTATACATAAGCAGTTAAATTTTATCAGATTAAATATAGAAAAGGAGTCACTTCCTGCAAATTTCCAGGAACGAAGAATTAGACGAATCATGTATTTAAGAAAATTGATGCAGTGCCACTTCATGTGACCAATCAGTATTGTGCAAACAGATTGGTCACATGAAGTCACGCTAAATCAATTTTCATGATTAGTGATTCACCTAATTCTTCATTCCTGGAAAATTTGCCGGAGGTGTTACCTATACCATATTTATTGTATAAATTTTAGTTTGTAAATTCTTAATATTTTTAATTTATCAGATGTATTGTTTTGTAATATCTTATTACATATCTCTAAAAAATTAAATTAATAAAATAAAGTTACTTTACATATAACTGATAATCAAAAAAAATACGGACCCGTGCCGCTAAGTCATGTGATTTATTAGGATTAATCGTTAATATAAAGGCAATTTTTAGCTTACTTTTTTTGCTATCTAAATTAGCTTTACATAAAGCTTCTATAATAATATCCAATAATAAGATAAACCAATTAAATTATTTAAGTTTTATACAACTTATATACTTAAGTATATTTAATAAAATCTTGTATTACAATATAATTCTGGCCGGAATTATGGACAAACTTTATCCTAATTGCATTCAAAGATCAACAACCAATCAGATAGATTTTTAAAACTTCTCACCCCTATTTTGTTCGAAAAGATATATAGTAATATCGGGTGCAAAATTTAAAAAAATTTTAATCATTTGAAATTTTTATTATCAATAATGAATTCTTCTAAAGGTGAAGAATTTGAAATTAAAGATTGATTGCCAAAGGGTTAAGTGAGTTAATTATATCATTAAGTGAACGTTTAGTTGTTATGCATCTAAAGTTACGCTGCCACTATGATAATATGATAAGCAGAGAACCTGAAGCGCACCGTGGCCACAGGGGATGTTACTAGAGCCAAGTAATAATTGCTTGTGAACGTCCTTTTCTGTTTATCTGTCATCAGAACAGCTCACCTGAGTCTGTGGTAAATAGGATGCATGGATAAATGACTGCATTGGCTCCAGAGCATTTTCCTTGACAATAATGAACAGTTATTTTTTTTGTAGGATATCAAGAGGAGATGGTGGCATAGATATGTTCGGCAGTCATGATCATTACATATTATTTTTCAATGCAAAGATCTTATGAACAAAGTTAAAGTTGATTATATTCGATCTTTTGAAAGTGTCATATCAAGATTCGATAAGCAAACAACATTATTTCAGCAAAGGATAGTTATTCAAGTGGTGCTATAGGAAGAGCTAAATCATCTGAATACAATTTATTATTGACAAGCATACATAATATGTGTAAGGACATTCCTGAATACTTGTCAAAAATTCGTAACTCTGGTAATCATAATTTTGATAGAATTAATTCGTAACTCTGGTAAACATAATTTGTTAGGATTAATATGTAGCTCTGGTAAACATTATCTTGATAGTAGTAATTCTGGTAAACTTAGTTTTGATAGAATTAATTCGTAACTCTAGTAAGAATAATTTAGATAGAATTAATTCGTAACTCAGGTAAACTTAATTTGGGTAGAATTAATTTGTAACTCTTGTAAGCATAATTTTGGTAGAATTAGTCAGTAATTCTGGTAAACATAGTTTGGCAGAATTAATTTGTAACTTTGGTAAAATAATTTTGTTAGAATTAATGTATAACCCTGGTAAGTATTATCATGATACCAAATTGGATGAGTTACTGATAGGGTTGTTAAATTTCAGTAATTTTACATAATTTTATATAAGATTTGGTAAATTAAATTACATGATATTTAGTTTCTGAGTTCAAATGACGCCACTAGCTAGTATGGTGCAGATGCGAGCCAATCATATTTAAATTTATTTTATAAAAGTAAGCGTGTGTGTAATATCGATATAGCATGGCACGTGGATAAACTTTCTAAATAACTTAATTTTGAATGTGCTACATATACGTGTACGAATATGAAATCAAATTTTATTTATATAAATCAGAAAAAAAAAACTTCGTCACAGGATTTAGAAAACATATATATAGTGGTCACATAAGAATTAAAGAAGTAAAAATAAATAAGAAAAATATTAAAATTTTGATTAAGTAAACTAAAGTAAACTAATATTCTAAACGTAAAGTCAGGTTTTTCATCTTTTCTCTGATTTCATGAACGTGGAATTTAATTGTTCCTGTTGTAGCTGTTACAACAGTTAAATTCTTGCTTAATTTGTTGTAAATTACATCCTCGAGATTGAAAGTTACAACTTCTGTTTTTTCTTTTGAATTTAGTAATATAACTGAAGCAAAACTTGCTTTTATTTGTTTATCTGATTTTTCAAGAATTTTTTTTTTATTAAATTTGAAATTTGCATTTATATTTCCTCTAATCAAAATACTAGAGATAAATCCATTTTTATCTCTGTATATACGAGGGCGGACAGTTTTATATTTAGGCATTTTTAATAAAGCTATAAGATTGTATAAAAAATGATATATTGATAGGCATGGATAAAAAGGGCTTTTTATATATTTACGGATATCTGATATCTGGACTCTTAGAGATGTGTATGTGAACCGAACATTGAACTAATAATATAAATAATCTATGGGTTACACTCTTCATTAAAGTAAATACTATAATATGCCAAATTTTAAACGTCATTAATTAACTTTATTATACTTAATATATTCGGTTATTATATGTTTCTATATTTAGCAGCCAAGTCATGACTTGTAAAAGATGCCGAATACTTCATATAAAAAATATAATTATTTAAAAATAAAACACTTGTGTTGATTTATCACGCGATTTTAAACTAAAATAAAATATTTAGTAGAAAAAAACTTTTAGATATAAGATTGATAGTTCAAAATTTTTGAAAGTACCTATATTCGGTTATATTTTTTTATATTGCTAAATAATAAGTTGACTCAGCAACTGAGTCTTGATTTATAGATACAAAAAATTACACGTGATTTGTCAACACTATAAATTTATCGACTGACGCTTGTGGTAGTTCAAAATTTTCAATTAACAATAATAAAATCTTAAATTTATCTTCTTTTTAAACAAATAAAAATGTCATTTGAACCAAGAGAATACCTCTTTCCACCCAATCAAGAAGAAATTTACTATAATAATTTATATCCTTCTTTACCCAATTCTTTAAATAAAGATGCATTAGTTTTTTCTCAAGGTAAGAATTAAGAGACACTAATTATTTAATTTTGTATAGACACAATTATTTCGTCTGAAGATTTTTCGGCCAGTGAATCACTAACAAATGAACCTGAAGTTTGCAAAAACAATGGTAACAACCTAGAAAAATGGATAAAAAATATTAATGATGTTAGTGATCATATGACTAATGCTGCTAATGATCAATATAAATTTTATATATAGCTTTTTACTCTTTCATTTATACTTAATTTGTTTCTTTATTATTTTTATCATAATTTCAAGTTTAAGGATTATGCATACCTTTTTATATATTTTCAAGAAAATTAACTGAATATACCTTACCAGAAGCATGCATTCTTCATTATTTTTGTAAACTAATGTTTGACATGAATAGGTTGAACTAGTGATGTGCCATTTATATAATACTCAGATTTTTTTAGCATACAGTACGTACAGTACGTACAGTACATATAGTACGTATAGTAGGATTTTTTTTACACCATAGTTTCGGAATATTCCGTAATCGTTTCGGAATATTTAGGAACCTATAAATGTTATAGCCTAAACTTCATAACTTAAAGAATGATTGTCAAAATTTTAGCGTACAGTACATACAGTACGTACAGTACAGTACGTATAGTACGTGGCACATCACAATTTTCTTAATTCTTGCTTTTAGTGTTTATAGTCCTTCTTCACATATAGATGATTTTTCACAAAATCCTGGTCAGATTTAGGCCGGCATTTAGCCTAATGATTAGCATGTTTTATCAGCTAAACACTTTTCACTTAGAGGTTGGAACCGGTTTTAAAAATTGAATTTGGCGTGATAAATTCTGAATTTTTGAAACCGGTTCCACCTCTATTTTCACTTATGTAAAATTTTAGGTTTAATGATAATATAAAAATTACTCTACTCTAATTTTAATTCCGGTAATATAAATTACATATTTATTCAAACTTTAAATAAATCTACTGGCAATGTTTATCAATCCGACCCATTCAGACCGAATTTGGTCAAAAGTCACGGGATTTTATTTTTAACGAAATAAAATGAAAATAAAACTAATCGAACTAACCGAAGAGAAATAAATGAAACTCATATGATTTATTATTTAATTTTCATTTACTTACTAATGAAATAAATTTTCTCATAGTTTACAACCTACTGTAAATCTGCCGAAGATTTTATTTTAATTCGACTCAAATTTATATTCTAAAATTTTTATTCTAATTCGACTCAAATTCATCCTCTGATTCTGCCCAAATTCATACTCTAATACAGGCAAATTAATTAATTAATTCGTCTAAATTTATTCTCTAATCCAGCCAAAATTCATTCTCTAATTTGGCCAAACAAATCTAAATATCATTTTAATGCTACTAACCAATAAGAAGGTCACAGGAACAACTTTATAATTACAAATTTTGTAGTCATTTCGAAAATTCATCTAAAATTTATTAATTTTTGTAAATTACAATAAGCACAGCTAATTGAAAAATGTAAAATTAAAAGTCATAACAAATCGAGGAAGTTTTAAACCATGAATACATTCAAATATCGAAACTCCCTTGTACGTTTTATAAAACCTGCTGGATATTTATTTAAAATTTATTATTGCAAGTTAAGAAGAAAACCAAATGTAAACTGAAGTGTTCTATAATCCAATCTTATTTACTATGGTTTGAGTTTGTGCTTCTAAATCGTTAGGTAATAATAATTTCAAATCGGAAATTTGTTTCTCAGTCAGCATATTCTTATTATTCAATTCTTCATTCAAATATTTGCAGATTTGGGCCTTAGCAATAATTTGATACAGATGTCTCTCAATTTCATCTTAAATATAATGAAATTTGTTTTAATTAAAAATTCGAATTTTAACACAATACAAAGCTAGAAATTATACCTTCGCTAAGACTACTTTTGATAGTAGTTTTAAATAGAATATTATTCTTATTCTTTTTATTATTTAAGATCAGGGACAGTTTGATAATTTCTTTGAAATGGAATGTAAACAGAATTATTATAGATTTATAATTTCATGCAAAATTTAACCTTTGCATACAAAAATTTAAAATTTTTACCATCTTTGATCATCAAGCTCACATTGTTAAGACCAACTGTTCCCTCTAAAATTTCGCAGATAGTTTTCAAGTTTTTAATTACACCATTGATTTTTATAATTTCATTGGCAATGCGATACTTTTTCTGAATTCTAACGTATTTTTGATTCAAATCAATGCCGATGCGATGCTTTTTCTGAATTCTAACGTATGTTTGATTCATATCAATGGCGATGCGATGTTTTTGATTCAAATATGAGCAATAATAAAAAAGTTAAAGAAATCAACACATTTTTATTAAGAAATTACCCCAATATATAGAACTTTGGGTTCACGTAATTTTTAAGGGTAATCTTTTCGTCATATTTGATATTCTTCTGGAGATTAAAATTATTCATTGCCTAAATATTCAGAAAAGGGTACTTCTTGTCATAAGCGAAAAAGATAGAGTTAATTTATCAGATTTCTGCCTGTGAATTCCCGGATAAAACATGAATAAAAATTGATTAATAAGTTTCAAACTAAATTAATATTTAAATTAATATAAAAAGATAAAAAGCAATAAAAAATTTTAGCCCCTATATATAATATCACTAACTAAGAATTCAAGTTGTGAGACGCCGTTTACTTAAAATTTTGCTTTCGTGTTTATATTGGTTTAAAATAAATAAAAGATCTGCAACATATAATCTAACATTTTAGTGCAACTACTATGTGTTGTGTGAGTGCTTCAATATATACTCTAAAGCGACTCTAAAAAAACAGGTTTAGATCTGCTTACTGTATATTATGTTGTGTGTCTCGATAATAAAATTACAATATAAATATATATATAATTCTGAGTATATATACTTTAATACAAATTATCAGAACATATTTTATTTTATCTCTAACTTGTAAAAATGATTAAAGAACATGATGAAGTGTGGCTTCATTTACTCAAAGTTATCCTAACTTTTGGATGTCTTGTTTCTGGAACTTTGTATATTGTTAACGTTCGTTTATTTTTATTTTTTAATCATACAATAATATATTTGTGTTGGCATCATTTTATAGCTGAATTAGTATTTTTTTTCATTTTTAGGCATTATAACATTTAATTGGATCTTTGATTAAAATTGTCTTAATGTTACAGTATGTTATTAATTTTGCCACATTAGTTTTGCCTCGCTCAAAAATAATGCTGAATTTTTTTTCTTTAACATTTATAGCTATAACATCATCAAAATAAACCTACTTTTACTTTTTTTGTTTTTACGCGGCACTACCTTTATATATTAATACAAGAATCGTGGATCTTGGAATCATTTTGAGATTAGCAATTTCGATATGGAATTGGTATTCATTTGTTAATACTGGGTTTATTTTCTACTTGAATATTCTAGGATTGACCCTTTTTTCAGGTATATATAAATAATTAATTTTTACCAAATGTTTAAAATGTTTGTTTCAAATATTTTATTTTACATTTGCAGTCTTATTTGAAGCTAAAATCAATATTTACCACTTTGCGAGATCAGAGCCTCGAGTTTTTTTTAGACATATTAAATATTTGTTCATTTTTATCTTCCTTTGTACTGCAGAATTTAGTTAGTTTTCTGTCTTAAACTACATTAGATGGTTTTGTCTTTTAGGTACAAAAGTTTTTCATCATTTTTAAATTGATTAAATTGATATCTCAAATTAGAGTATTAATTAAGATTTTACATTTAAGTTTTTTTTGTAGGAGAACTTAAAATTTATCATTTTGCGAGATCAGGATTTATAGGACATGTATTCTACTTGTTTATCTTTTTTACCTGTATTCATTTATTGTTAGTGTTTGAATTATTTTACACTAGATGTATTTTTACAATTTTGAACGAAATAAATTCTACGATGAACTAATAAATTTAGTGTAAATTAGGCGAAATTACTCCGCAATCAAAATTTCGTGATTTTATAAAATTCTCACCTCATTCGTTGTTTTTTATTATTTTAACTTTGGGAGCTTTCCTGTCCACAAAATTTAAAAAACAATGTTCGATTTGTAATAATAAGTAATTCTTGAACTTAAGATCTTTTTCATGGTTAATTGCATCTTAGCCAACCCTAGATAAACATTTAATTCATAACTGGTAAACAAATTAATTTGTAATTTTGATAAACATAATGTTCGTAACTCTGGCGAACATAATTTGGCATAGTTTTGGTATAATTTAATTCGTAAATCTGGTAAACAAATCTGGTAAAATTTAATTCGTAACTTTGGTAAACAAATTTTGGTAGAATTCAATTCGTAACTCTGGTAAACATAATTTTGGTAGAATTAATTCGAACTCTGGTAATCATAATGTTGGTAGTATTCAATTCATAACTCTGGTAAACATAATTTTGATAGAATTAATTCGTAACTCTGGTAAACATAATTGTAAATTTGGTAGAATTAATTTGTAACTCTGATAAATGTAATTTTGGTAAGCATAATTTTGGCAGAATTAATTCGTAACTCTGGTAAACATAACTTTGGTATTAATTAGTAACTCTGGTAAACATAATGCTTCCCTTCTCAATATCAAGATTTTAATTAAGCTTCGCCATATCAAGATTTTAATTAGGCGTCCATATATCAAGATTTCAAATAGTTTTGCTATATCGAGATTTTAATTAGGCTATATTTTGTATTTAATAAATAATAAATTTTATTATTTAAACCCAGTTTATTTTCCAAAATTAATTATGATACAATTAGTGCTGGCAAAACTTTTGTAATGTGAAAATGTAAAGTTACATTAACAGTTTCGTAAGTTAAATATGATCTCAGAAAAAACGCCCATATCTCGACCCACAATTTACCCTTTCACAACGTGCATTAGTGAAAAATTTTTTATTAATAGAAAAGGAGAAGAGAATAATTATAAAAGAAAAAAAAAGAAAGAAAAAAGAAATGAACAAAAAGAAAAAAAGAGAAAAAAGAAAGATAAAGAAAAGTAAAAATCTAAATACAATGGATGAAAGGTCAGAATGCGATAGTATTATAAATTTCTAAAATATAATAATACATAAGTTAAAATTACAAAAGTGATGGAGAACGAATAAAACATTACATTATAGTCTAATATAAATAATCTATTTCTATTTTCTAATACACGAATATGTTCATAAAATCGCTCTACGATAAACCTCACTAAATCTCGACACATTCTATTATACACGGTAATGAGAATACTGCCTCCTGACCTTTCAGTCGATTTATACGCTCCATTCGCAAATTTTCCTTCCACCGCTCCTACATAAACCCTGAATGCGTACCTCCCGTCCAACACCACTGTTCTAAACTCATCGATTTTATCCCGACCTATAAACAAATTAATTGTTAATTGTTACATTGATAATTGTTGTTTTTGTGATTAGTAATTTACATACCTATTTCTTTTGAATACCACGCTTTGCACTGAACAACGATCCTCATCCCAAAAATTGTTATAATAATGTCTCATCCCAGATCTTCACTTTTCCTATAAATTAATAAATTAATGAATATATATTTCATCGTCATATAAAGCTGGGGCCAGCATGTATCCTATTCATCATTAAATCCAGTAGGGCTGCTCCATTTCCGGACATTGATAACTAAGAAGAACGTTCACTGCCGAAACAGTGGCCATGACGTGCTTTCATTTAAATAGAATTTCTTGCATTCCTTGTGACATTTTAAAAATAAATTGTTAGTAGACACCGAAAATTTCATTTATATCCAATATCAAAAATATGGACATAGTCCAAATGAATATGTCCAATTGAAAATGACTATGTCCCATATTATTTAATTGGTTCAAATACCAATACTGTTCATTACATCACGGACAAAAAAAACATGCTGAAAAACCATTTCCAGTCGCATATCAAATGACAATCGCAGGCTCGGAACAAATAAATATCGCAGGATCTTCAGATTAAGGATCTACATCACAAAGAATTAAAGTTCGAGAGATTCTATCGATTAGAAAATTAGTAAAGATTCTTTTCAATCGAATTTTAATCTGTAATAAAGCAGCTCACTTAGCTCTAAAACTTTGAAACCAGATATAGTAGAAGTTAGTTCGCTAAATAATTAATCCCTTTGTCGTATAGTCATAAAATCATATGTTGAGAGAAGAAAAGAGAGTTAAATCCTTGTTGACTTGCATTGTAATACCTATATATATAATTGTATTTATGCATTAGCTAAATAGGTAATTTTACTACCGATTATAGGACTGATCCGGGATTAATCAAATTTACGATTTTGATAGGTTAAAGGTAGCATGTGACTATCAGACAATCTCGTGATGTATTGGGCAATATGCATGCTACGATAAAAATAAACAAAGATTTTTCATTATCAGTCATAGGAAATGTCCCCTTAAAATAGCCTTGAAATAAGTTTATAATAAAAATTATAATAAAAACATATGAATTTACTATAAACTTTGGGCTAAAGATCCTTCTCAGCTTAACTCATTATATGAGGACGATAAAAAAAATGGTTTAGTTGATCAGAATGATATATAATTTAAGATTTGTACCCTCTACCTTTAACAACTTTTATTATTTACTTGTGAAAATTAAGACTACATAATAAAAAAATTATTATATTTTTTTTTTTTGAATAAAATGTGATTAATTCTCTGATTATTTTTTGCATTTTTCTTTAGACTTTTCATTTCTATTATCTCTTATAACAATTTTTTCTTTACCATTAAATTTTTGTATTATGCAAAACATAAAAGATGAAGAGAAACTTAATACAAGTTACCGCTAGATAATATCACATCACCACTAAAAAGGAAGATTTAATTAAAGAAGTAAAGTGTTCATTTGAAATAAATATGGACGCGTAAGGCTCTATTTCTTTGTTTCAGCAAAGTTTCATTGTGAAAATAACTTTTCATAAATGCTAATAAGACACTTTTGTCCATGATAATATGTCTGACACGTGATATATTACAAAAAATATGGCATGTGAAATATTTAACTTTTATTTAAATTATAAGAGGTGATTTTTTTTTGTGTATATTTCGAATGAAAGGTCACGTACAATATTATAAATTTTATCAGAACTTTTATTTAAAAAAATGTCTTTAACCTTGTCAACCTTCTCCATATCTCTCATTTGTTTTTATATAGCATGAAGTAAAGACAAATTGTCTTGTTCATTATACTCCTCCACCATCTTACCAAACGTGCTTCTCTATTTCGTAAATCTCTTCTAGATGGTAAGCACAGCATGAGGTTGAAGAAAGCCACCTTCCTTATACAACTTAGAAGCTTCATAGGCCTTCAGTAGTAACTTCTTTACCATGTCCGTATTTGGAAAAGCGTGTTGGATTGTAAGGAATTATACATTTTTCGTCAAATAAATCTTGCGCAATTTCTTGTATATATGGTGATATCTTCCGTTCAGCTAATTTCTTATAACACTTAGAAAGTACTAACTAATACGTTTACGAATTTTTACCTTGGATTAAAATCTGGTTCTTGATAACATTCATAAAGTATATCATTGATTGTATTTTCAATATGACGCTCGAGGATCATAGTTTTAATTTCGTGGGTAGAAATGCGAATAAAGAAGTCATTATTGTTATTGAAAGTGTATGATGATGTTAGGAATGGGTGGATCGTTGTTCGCTTGTTTGCTTTCCGCGTAGAAAGGTTAAAGTCGTAAATTATATTTGAACTCTTCTTAGATTAAACCAATTCTGCCTAAATTTATATTCTAATTTTGCTTCAAATTTTATACTTCACTTTTACCCAAATTTATATTCAAATAAACCCTAATTCTGCCAAATTTATACTGTAATGTTGCCCAAATTTATTATCAAATTCTGCCCAAATAATCTAATTTATACCTTAATTTTGCCCAAATTTACATTCCAATTATGCCCAAATTTATATTTTAATTCTGCCCAAATTTATTCTCTAATTTTGCCTAAATTATTATTAATTCCGGTGACTAATTTCTGCCACTAATAAATTTTTTTTATTTAAAAATATTGCACCGAGATTTCAGCTCTAATTTCGTAACTCTGGTTCTGGTATAAACAATTTGGCTACAATCTATAAATCATGACTCAGGTTTATTAGTAATACAGTATAGTTTATTGTTTTAGATATTTTGATAATTTATATACGATAAAAATATGTTTTTTTAAATAAAAATTTTAAACTTGATACAGTTTATTAAATTATATAATATTATTCTAGATACATATTTGTTACAGAATAAATGACTAACCACTTCGTAATGATCGTAATCACAATGATATTTCGAAAATTGTGCAAATTCAAAAACTTCTACAAAATCAATTCTTTGTGTTAGATGAATACAACCATCTTCTTCAAAAACTTCTTGTTTACAAACACTACAATACAATTTAATTGGTTCTTGATCAAATTTAGAACATATTTCTTCAAATAATTTTTGGAATATCAATTTAGCATCTTTCGAATATGTCCTATTTTTAAGAACCTTCTTTTATCTGCCGAGGATATTTGTTTATGAATTTGAGAGCTAGATATATTTCTTTTACAAGAAAATTTATAGCTTTGACAAATCACAAATAAATAAACCATGACTCAGTTGTTAAGTCACATTATTTTAGTAATATAGTTTATTTTGTTTAGATATTTTGATAATTTTACATCTATATATTTAGAAATGATACATGATAAAAATCAATTTTCTTTGAATAAATTTGTGTTTAGTTCTCTGATTATTTCTTTGCATTTTTTTTTAGACTTTTCATTTCTATTAGCTCTTCTCAAATTTCTTCTAAACTTTTTTAACATGTAATGTTCTTTACCATAATATCCATATCCCACATAATTTAAACACAAAAAATTACTTCTGCTTTTTGAATTTACCCAATTATTTTTTGTTTGCATGCTTGTTTCAATTCCACAAAGGCAGTGTTTGAAATAAAAAAATGAATCTTTCAAGGTGATTCTTTCGAGAATATGATGAATATTTCTACTTAAAAATTTATTTCTTACTTTACTACTGAATTCATAATAATTTTCGTTACTTCTGATCCAATATCGAAGTAGCGTGAAAAAACTGGTTTCAGGATTACAACCGAGGATTTCAATAAATTTTTCCTGGATCATATCCATAAAGAGCTTTCTGGTAAATCTGTTAGTTTGCAAAATTCCTTTAATTGTTTCGACTGGAGGTTTGTCAAACATGACATGTTCATTAAATAGATCTTCGATTAAAAATTTAAAGGAAGAATTAACAATGATCAGTTTTTTGCCGGCATCCATATCTTCATTTAATAGTTGTTTATATTATAATTTTGTAATTGTTCTTTTGGGATGTGGCGGCCTAGTGAAGTGGTCTAGTCGTCACCCCACCAAGCGGCAGGTTTAGAGTTCGAATCCCATGGACGACGTTTTTCGAAAA